TCCTTTAGAATAGAAGTACTTACTCATTAAAATGATTCACGAACCATGTAAAGATATAAACAGTCCTTCATCGTACCGCTCCATTAGTTGACCCTATGTGCTATATACTCCAAAATTAATATATTCTTTTTATTTATTTATGATATTTACAACTGTATTAAGAAAAAAATACATTCAGTGTATGTGTATGTGCCTCAGAATGTGACTCTGTTTTTATGAAACAGATTTAAAAACATGAAAACACTTGTTGAGAAACTATACATTAGTAGCACACTAAAAAAAAAGTATTTACAATATTTATACTATTTATACACATTACAATTCGAGGTTATCTTCTTTTCAGACGCCTCGGAGGGTTATCGAGTAGGAAGCAAGGTTAGAAACGAGAAGGTTCGGATGGTTCTGAAGTTTATTGTGGAAGGATAGGTATCTGGATTGGGCCAATTCGGAAACAAATGGAACATTAAGGTCTTTATGGATGATTTTATTAGTGACAAAGTAAGGAGCATTGAGGATTTTACGAAGGTTTTTGGATTGTAAGAATTAGATGCGTTAGGAATTCGATGGTTTTGTGGACTACTCCGTATGTCCAAATAGGTCTTATTGTAGCGGAATGGGAAAAGAGGGATGAATGAGCATTATAGTGATTTACTTTTAAGTATCTATCAGTTAAGTAGGAACGAATAATGAGGAAGTATGTAGGATCTAGGAATTAACCGAGTTTGTAAAGCAGTCCTGGGTGCCAGACTCGATCAAAAGCCCAAAATTAATATAAAAAAGACTTATTGACATATTGACTGACCGATAGATAATACCTGACCATCAGTTCAGCTTTCTCACATTCCATTCGACGATACATCAGTTACACAGTGTTACGGATTACATTTCTGGAGCTTTAGAACAAGAACTATATACAACTGGTGTATTTTTTGATAGGTTCTGCCACTAGGGCCTTCTCTTTAAATTTTCTCTTCTTCTTTCTTTTCCATCCATCTGCCTTTCAGCTTAGTGCTACCATGAGGGTGCTTCCAGCTATTGGTTCCATGCATCCCTATTCCGGCAAGGTTCCTCATCCTTTCCATGGACTTCCCTCATCGTCTTCTTCTTTTTAAACTTAAAACTAGGAAAATCGGACTTAATAATGACAAATCCAAACATCTAAAATTTACTCTTTGAAAAAAGACCTGCCCTCCAGTCAACATTAACAATAACCAAATTCCTCAAACAGACACGGTACTTTAAACGACTTAAACTACTCTACCCTCATTTTTTCTTCATCATCAAAACTGAAACTGAATACATATACATGCTTACTTAAACCCATATGAACATACTCATCATTGATATAAGGTATTACTAAAAAGAACCACCTACATAAACTTCAAACAATCAATATTATTGCGACTCATAACAAAAGAACCTTGGTAGGTGAATAACAAAACTCTACATACTAACCTTCACCTTCTAACAGTCCACCAACACATAACGACCTTATCAAAGATTTTATACAAATTTCAACGGGCATTACAACATATCAATAAGAGATATGGCAGCCAACATACCTCTGAATATTAGAAAACTAAAAAGGCGTTGGGTGAGAGATCTCCGTTCTTAGAAAACCTAAGTAATTGAAAGAAGTCAGGGAAGAGGTGCTGCTGAACACTGTCCTTCCCCATGCCTGACATGTCATTGTTTCTCAAATATCATTTGTTGATTGTCGATACAAGTTGACAGATGCAAATAAATATTTAAAGCAAAAAAAAAAAATGTTCTAAAATTTTTATTAAAAGTTTTAATCAGGTCTATACTTCTAAATATTAAACTACTTCGATTAAAATATCTCTCTATTATGTAAAAAAGAAGTGAGAGTTAATTTTTATTTTCATAAAACTAATAATACAATATTTATTGATCGAACATTTGACTATTTATATGTTTTTTTCCGTTATTTTGTAACAGAGAATGGTATTATCGGAATTATAAGTGTTTGTTTAGTTGTAAACAATAATTATTGAGGTTAACAGTAAAGTGACTGGCCTCCCCCATTGTTATGTTTATAAGTGTCCTATTACTAACTTACTAGCTAAATTCTAATATAGGAAGAAGATACTGAACTTTTCCACCGAACTGGAAAAGCGGATTTTTCTTTTACATATACAAAGTGAGAGTGACTTTAACGAAGCGCTAGTGGTACGAAGATACCAAACTTCTTATTCTCACAATTATTTTTACTTATCACAGTTAAAAATTGGCAACCAGGATCCATGTTTAATATTGATTTTTTAATAAATAAGAAAAGTGTCAGAACTGTAGTTTCCTTCCGTTTATTCTATGTCGATGAAAAATAACACAATATTAACTACAGAATACATGTAAATGACATGGTTAGTTGTGGTAAATTCTTGTATGGATTAATGGAGCTGTACCAAAGTTTTCACAATTTTTGTGGATGTCGAACAAATTTCGATTAGAAAATTTTAATTTGATTGCTGCGAAAATTCATGTTTAAGAGTTTTTAGAGGATTGAAAAACGAATATCAACCTAGTTTCTCCTTCATAAAATATTTACTCTAGACATAGGCCAGTTTTGAATAAACATTATATTTGGCGGATAGCTACGATATGGACCAACCAAGGTACTGTGGGACTGAGGAAAAACACGCGGTTTCGACTAAATATATTACTTTTTTTTAGAACTCCATAAACTAGATAAACTGTTATTGATACCTTGTGGAGTTTTTTAGAATCTTTTCAGTTGGCAGAACACACATTTGTCTTTACTTTTATTGAATAGTTCAATTTAAAAAAAAAAAAATAGATTCAGCCGATGTCGTGAGTTTTCCCTTACTCATCCCACTGTGCGACTCAGCAATGTGGGAGTTAGTATTTCTTTTAGGGATTAAAATTAACTTGACCTACTTTACTAGATGCTCATTTTAGTTTTTGTAATTTATAATATATTATAACTTAATTAATGCAATAATCAATATTTTTATTTTATTCTTCACAAAAAAAGAAATAGATTGATGTATAATAACCTAAAAATCAGGACAAAGCAAAGCCAAAAATAAATAACATAAATTTTGTTCAAAATTATATAAAATATTATTTACTCGGCTCCAAGGGTCCATGGAATAAACACCAGGACACGTTTTCAATATTTTTTAATGTAGTATCACCGAAAAAAATGTAGTTGAAATCGGTGATCCATTGACTACAGCCTGCCCTTGTTATTACAATTTATATATTTCCACTACTAATATTATGAAAATAAACCTCAAGTTGAAATTTAAAAAAATCCATTTAATTGTCTTTCATGTGGGTCGGTGAACAATTAAATAGGTAGTCACTAATAATAAATATCACTCCTACTATTTTTTTTAATTCCTAAAAGTTTGATATTTTTCGAAATTAAAGCTTTAATAACTTCATAAAAAGGTTTAATAAAGGATCAAATAAACACATTTTTACCCGACTATAGTGGAGCCAGGAGGGAGTTTTATAACGTAACAATAGCCAAATGTGAATACCATCAATCCCAAGAAATTAAAATTTCAGGTATAGGGAAGGATAGTATCCAGCAGCACCTTTTCCCGGATTTTAATTACCTCCTTAATACAGGATAGGAGGTCTCTCATCCAGCTCCTTTCCAACCACCTTCTGATGTTCATGTCAACCAACCGTGACCATGGCGTAAGCCTGTCCAAGTCTGATTAGTCCAATGAATGAATGAATGCTCATATAGGGAATTGAAAGAAAAACAACTTTTGAATTCGGAGCGTATTCAGAAGTAGTGTTGCCCAAAATCGGTCTTGGTCTTCACTTTGCAAGACCAAGACAGGAAAAAAAATCGATTTTTTAAATAAAAATTAACAAAAATAGTTACTAATACTTGACTGTCTTAGTTAATAATTATCTTAATTATTGGTATGACCAATATAATTTTGCATTTGACTCTTCTAATTTTTCATTCGGGCTTGGTCAGGTTCCTCCTAACTAAAAAATTACAGTAATATCTCTGTAGTAATAAGGTAATAAGTAACTGTTGCGATATTCTTGCGCAAGATCAAGACCATGACTAAGACTGAGTTTGCAAGACCAAGACTCGTCTCGGTCTCGCATTTGGCCAACACTACTCAGAAGATTACTTTTTTCGATTCTTCGCTTATTATCAGGAAAACTATGCGTCTTAGCTATAAAAACTTTATATTCTAACTTGAAACAAATAAACATTGGTTATATTCACTTCACATGATTTTAGGGAAACCCCTGTTGATTAATTGTTAATTTTGAAAAACAAAATTTTGCCTCAAGTTTTTATCTTCGTTTGCCGAGCCAACTATTTATCGCTTCATTCTAAAAACAAGACATGGATAAGAATGTTGATGAATTTATATAATAAAACATTTTGCTATTTTATGTTCAACCATTCATAAGGTAAATCATTTATCATTGTATTTGTTAAATCCGAGATTATGAAGAAAAATTAACTTTTCCTTTGCTTCTTCACTATCGAAGGTAGGAAGCTTTCTGTTTTTACGGGAGTTTAAAAAAATTATTGTGTTCAGGATCGAATATTATCTCCCGAGTCTTGGTTCGGTATCTGATTGTCTGTAGTCAAATAGATGTGACGGACATATCACATACTATCCGATTTTCATAAAATTTTCAGGTGTTTGCGAATTGGTGTTTAGATAGTCCCATATCAAGTTCATCATATTCCTATTATGTCGTCAGTGACCTTCCTCGCAGCACGAACTACTCTGAATCCCAATTATTTTACTCAAATTGAATCACTATTGAGAATTCAATCACTATTTCAGTTAATCGTTTGATATCAACTGAATTAGAAATTCAATTATTTTTTACTCAAGAAAGGTCAGTATCTGAGTAAAATACTTGGTACTCACCTGAATACTGAAAGAAATGCCACCTCAGGATGTTCTTTTCCAGAATGGTGATGTCAATGAGTCACCATAAATTACTTACTCGGCTGCGATATGCATGGGGCGTACTTTTCTCCTAGGTTTTCATTGGAGAAATTTGACTTGATGCCTTGCTTTACAAAGCCGCTTTACAATGACAGCTACCTCCTTATTAATGAAATGCACGTTACCTGCCTTACTGAGGCCTTATTTGGTTTTTACATGAAACTCACAATTGGTAAAAAACTATTTATGAAGTCCACAAAAGTCCAGAATTCATGAAACGTTGGCTAATCGATACACTGAAAGGCAGACTACAGGAACAACTATAACACATAACAATAATTGTTTTCTAGAACGAACCTTCAAACCCAGAGGCTGCGAGACAAATAATTACTTTAAACAGTGCATGCGATACCATTTCAGCTACTTTCCGAATGAGTAAGTTGTGATTTTTAGGTGGGACGCAGGAATCTACCCTTGTAATAAATCTATTGTCGTTTTTTTTTTCTCTCCTTCTAGGATTTACAGGTTTTTTTCCCGGATCAGGGATGAGGGCAGGAGAAAACTTAATATCTGAGTTTAAAAAAAGTCCACATTGCGACGAATAAAAAATCTATTTGGAAAAAATTAATGGTGAAAATTTTCAAATTCAACGATATGGGATAGCTCAGCAATGGAGCAATGCTTTGAGATGTTTGCCTCACAAGAAAGGAGAACAATTAGAATGTGCTAATTACAGAAGAATATCGCTGCTCTCCTGCGCTTACAAAGATGTCTAGAATATCCTCTACCAAAGGCTGACCCGCATGCAGAACGAGAAATCGGACAGTACCCAATTCAATACTATTCATACCTTTGGATTCATACCCTTAGATTAATCATGAAAAGGTCTCACGAACATAAGATGTTTACCCACCGTTTGTTCGTGGATTTTAGAAACGAGTATGGCTGTATCAAGCGTCCTATGTTATACGAGGCACTAAGAGGAATGAATTCAAAGCTAATACGCGTTTCAAAAATAATAATGAGAGAGGTTAGATGCATGGTCCGGATATAACGCCAATACCCTTCTGAATTTGGCTCAAACAAAGGACTAAGACAAGATGCTTTGGAACGCCTCCTGTTCAATTTGGTGTTGGAAAAAAGTAGTGAGAGAAACAGGTATCCACAATAATGGCACCATATTCAATAGTAGTGCGATCCTCTACTGTGCTTACTGAGTCTTTCTTAAGAGAGCTGCCGCACGCATGGGACTGGCTATTAATGAAAAAGAAAAATATATATGAGCACCTGAGGAGCCATACCTGAAGAAAGACAGGTTTTCGTAGAAAGCTGTAATTTTGATAGAGTGGAGGAGTTGATTTACCTTGGATCTCAGGTCACAGCAACTAGTGATGTTCCATTGAAAAAAGCGAATGATCACAGCGGCTTACCGATGCTATTTTGGTCTATTGAAGTAAGCTCATTAGCAGCACAATAAAGGTCCACTTATATAAAATACTGATCAGGCCGGTCCTAACATACACCTCCTAGACATGGTCACTATCCACACAGGATAGAAATAATCTTCTGGTGTTTGAGACGAAGATCCTTCGAAGAATCCATTGGCCGGTAAGGGATGAGGAAGACTGGAGGAGAAGAAGAAATAACAAATTCTATGAGCTGTTCCAGAATATAGATGTTGTGACCTTTATTATGCCTTCAGGGTATGTTGCACAAATGAATCCCGACTAAATGCCTAAAAGAGTTATGGAAGAAGAAACTCATTGTCCAAGAAGAGTCGGACGGCCAAAGCTCCGGAAGATGGATGGCGTGGTACAAGACGCATGAGACCTGCTTGGTGTCCGAAATTGGAAGGCAGTAGCCCGAAACCGAGCCGAATTGCTTAGGCTCATAGATGAGGCCAGGACTCGTCACAGGGTTGTTGCGCCATCTGATAGATAGATAGATAGATAGATAGATAAACTCAAGTTTATTAAAGGTTGCTGAGGACAACGCATGTTTTGCACATGCGTTAGTCGGCTTGCCTCCAAACTCCCCTCCTCTACTACTGAGTAGTTGTCATATTTGACTTAAAAATGCTATTTATATAAATCTAAAATAAATTAACAAAACATTTACGAGGCAACGAACGAATTGTTGGTCCCTTTGTAAGCACTCTGCGGCTATATTTTTGCAGAGAGACACTTTTAACATTTTCTAAATGCATTCTATATCAGAAGTAGGTACACTTATCGAAAAGTAAGATTCAAGAACCAGGAAGTATCCGTGAGGTATTATAGACTGGAGCTTAAAAAGAAGACTCAGGTACCAGACTGTCAAACTTCTGGGTAACTTTAAAAAAAATACACAAGTTGCACATAGATTTGGTTTTAAAGCTCCAGCAATGTAGTCTTTAACTCGATATTAAAGGTACTTTAGAGGAAGACGTATATGAACATTGGGCATTTAAGCCCTGTAAAGTGACATCAATGGGGATAAGACTTAATTGATATTAAAGACCACTTAATTATAGCCGTTTTTGAGAAAATTGTGAAAATGTGTTTCAGCGTTGATATAAAGTGGCACTTCCGGTTAGCCGATTTTAAGGAAAAAGTTGCTGTCACAACTAAGGCATATACCTATCTTAAATACGTAATATCAGTTTCATAGGACTTTTCGTTTTTGAGCTAGACTGCTAACATACAAACACACAGACCATTTTACGGGACTTGGTCATTTCGACTCAGGGTACCTCAAAACGTGTAAATCCGTTGAAAACTCAGATTCTAAAATTTTCTCGATCGCAATACTTACACTTACTATATATACATTGTATCACTATATATACAGTGAAAGTAAAAAATAGATTTGGATTAAAAGGAATAATAAACAAGGCATGTTTGAAGTCATATATCTTTATTATGATATTAAAGTTTTGTAGACAAGTTGCCTTCAGACACGCCGATAGCCGTGCCGAAGACGAACCGATCGGCTACTCGCTTAGCCGTGCCATCCGTGGACGACTGATGGGTAAAAGCCTACGCTGGGGTAGCCGCGGTACGCAGGTCCGTAGTAGACTCCGCCCCAGGGCCAGCCATAGCCCCAGCTGTTCCTCTTCTCCCTCACCTGCTCCGCCTCTGGCTCATCGGCTCCCAGCACCATCGCCAGGCCCAACATCACAACCAGGAACTGCGAAAACAAGGAAAACACTTAGTGCCATGTTCTTTCTATTCAGAAACTTGCTGATACCGTTTGAAACCTATCGTTACCTATACTACCAATTGGCTGCGCACTTGTAATAAATCTCAGGAGAAAGTGCTTTTTTGATTACTGGAGATTTATTACAGTTTCACATAACCAAATCAACTAGCGCTCAAATGTGTGCACGATGCATAGATCAAAGTGTTTAGCCAAGCAAGGACACTTATTAGTGGTGTAATATACAATTTTTGTTACGTATATAGAAACGATTAATGTGATTCTATCAGGAAATTTCATAAAACGTTCATTTTTTTTTTCTGGTATGGTTTGCTTAATTCAATCCTGTTCCGTATCACATCCTATCTAATTAGGCATCAAATGATGTCAGCTATGGCAAATATCTATTGCCGCTCTTTAAGTATTGTCTGTGTCAATACATTTGCAGAATTTAGGATCTATCATACAGTATTATTAAAAATGGAGACAACATATTCCGGTTCGACTATCACAACAATATATTATGTGTTAAGCAGTATCATTTATTATACTGCATAGCCTCTAGTGTTGCCCAAAATCGGTCTTGTTCTTGCACTTTGCAAGACCAAGACCAAGGCCGCCTAACTGTTGCAAGACCAAGACTTGTCTTGATTGCATTTGGGCAACAATAATAACCTACAAATTGGGAGCTTTGTCTATTCAGCAGATAGTGACCTGTGGGCCGATAGTCCTACCACAACCGAAGTATAAATTAATAGAAATGTGTATTTGTTTGGGGGAGCAAGTAACCGTGTCTTCAGATAATAGTGGGAGGAGAATCCTCTCAAAATTTTTATTATTGTTTCGATAGTAATTACTCCTTATTTCCAGCTTATTCAGTTGGAACAGAGAGGCATAAATCGCATTTAATTACGAATCACTGAACAATGAAAACAGCCTTCAATCAAATAACAATAAAAGATAATTATCTTCTTTAATATCGAAATGGCCTTGATATTTATCGATTAATATAGACCAAATAGGTTCTGGTTTTAATTTTTATTAGTCGTAAAATGTTAGGTCGTAAAAATAAAAACACAAAAAGTATCGATTTTTTCTGAAGCGTATTTGCAATAAGACAATAAAGACTAAAGAAAAGTTATGGGAACAGAGCTATGTCCGTATGTACCCATTTAGGCAGGAAGGAATACCATATAGTTAGTAGAGTCCAATAGATTCATTTTGTGTAAGGTCCTTTAAAACAGCTTTGAATGGGTTTGTTCCATAGCTGAATGTTTCGGTTAGAATATATTCAGATTCGGCTTTTCGATTAATTAGAATTTATCAGTTTTTTGATATACTACAAAGCCTGATTTTGTTGTCTAAAGCGTTCTTAATTCGTCTTTGGCACAACTAATGATGACATCAGATGGGCACTTGTGAAAAATATATCTGTTTCAAAAGGGACACTCCGGCTTCTGATTTCTAAAATGCCTATGATGATTTCTAAAATAGAATCTTACTTGATAATCCTATTTCTAAGGTAAGGAAGGTATTATCATCGAGGGGGTGGCGTGGCCGAGGAGGCACGACATCTGGTAAACAGGTAACGTTAATAACAGATAATAAATTCAAGTTCCCGTGCCGGTGATGGGTGGAAGGTTAATCCTCCGTTCTCTTCCTAACCCCGGGGAAAACCCGTATATCCTAAAAGGAACGGGATCGTTCGTCCCCATTCCCATCTCCCTCCCAAAAAAAAACCAAGGCAAGGGTGGTGGCCTATCGGATTAATACTTGTATAAAATAAAATTCATAAATAAAACAAGAAATTAAACTCTACTAACTTCGATAAAATAAGGTCGTGAGGCCGATATATTGGTCATTGGAATATCGAAATGCAGGGTAAGGGGGGGGGGACCAGAAGGCCACAAGGGCGTTATATATGAAAGAGGCCGATATATTGGTAAAGTAAGTCTTTGGCATATCTGTTCAATTTATGGAGGAGTAGGCCGATAATTGATATCGGCATATTATTAATATCGGCAGAGATATTAATATCGGCATCGGTCGATCTCTACTTAAAAAATGGACTACATCGCCTTCTCGAACATGTACTATAGTCCGTGGTACAGACCCCTTTCTATCAAACCTGAAACTTCGTAAATAACTTCATCATATCGTAACCTACAAATATTTCACTTATGAAAATTCTCAGAATTGGGCGTATTCAATCTGGAGGTCGATTTGTATATTTAATTTGTATATTTAATTAGGTACTAAAAACTCGTAAATATCCATTCGCTTTCCAGTTGGATCGTAAGATAATTTTATCACAAAGTCTTTAAAAAAGATGACCTACGAAAATATTGGGCAGTTTGGCCTGTATGACATCGTTATTTTGACAATTTGGGAATGACCTACACACCAAAGGGCTCAATATTTTTGAAGACCACCTTTTTACCCGACTTTATTCTGAAATCATCTAACGATCGAAGTGGAAAGCAAGTGGCTATGTACGAGATTTTAGTGCCTAATTAAATAGACAAAGTTTGCCAACCTCCAGATTTAAAACGTCCCAATTCCGAGATTTTTTGTAAATAAAATAGTTGTAGGTAATGATGAGATGAAACTATTTAAGAAGTTCCAGGCGGATGTTATTAATTTGATAAAAACGGATCTGTACCACGGACTATATAATATGTTGATATTAAATAAACAACAATCAAATGCAAGCATTAAATCTTGAAATGTCTCGGGACAGTACAAGGGAAAGAAGGATTATATGTATATATTGTATTTTCTCAATAACAGCGTTGGAGGATGATGAAAAAAGGGGAAAAAATCTAAATCTTGGTGTTGGGATGTGATTTAAAAATGATAATCAATGTAAACATTTATTTGTCATAGGGAAAAGTGATAGTCTAAGATGACAGACACAAAAAAAAAAAAACATTAAATAGTTCCTGCTATTTAAAGTTTTTTTTCATGGGCTCCACCCCAGACCATCGCTTTCCTCAATATACTGAATATAATACCTGAAAATAATTAAATATGTTTTAATATATCTATACTACGGAAGTCAAGAACACCATGTCAATTTTTATATTTGTTCTGAGTATCCAATGTTCCATAACTTTCAGCAATTATAATTTGTTTCTTAGTTACTAATTCTGTACTCCGTAGGTAAAGTACACCAAGTCACATTTTTATGTCAGCTCAGGGATCCATTATCCACAAATTTGGATAATTAAAAATAGTTTCTTATTTACTAAATCATTTGATAAAAATGTGGGCATGGTTTGCCCCCCTTTGCCTCCGAGCCACAGATATTGATATAATATTCTAAATATATTTTTATATAATATTTTAATATATATTTCTTTAGTGTAATATTTGAACATTGACTATATTTCGTTAGCAGTTTATTTTTTTTTTTTTTTATTCAAGCCTTAGATTGAAATATGATCCTTTCAGTTAGAATCAATTATATTTCTGTTTATTCTTTAGAAAATTATTGGTTTTTTTTTTCAAATGTATGGGAAAAATTTTTTCCATCAATTATCTATTATCAATATTTCTGGCATGATTTTGAAGAAGGGAGATATTTTCAACGAAAAACTAGAAAATGCTGAAATAGGAGAGAATCATTCTGTCAACTGAAAACCTCAAATATGATTCACAATTTTTTTTTTTTTTTTTAATGATTATTCATTGTAACTCCTGGCTGTATGGAAAAATAGATAAAAAGTTGTAGCGAATTAGTGTTATCAAATAATATAATAAATCATTAAAAATATTCACAATATTTCTCACTTCTTCTTCGGTGCATACTATTTATTTTCAAGTATATTTATTATCAGCAAATTTTACAACAATTTTTAAATTTAGTCAACTTAATGATTACACATCACAATTACAACGTTTAGCTCGTCGAGCCATTTTCAAGTCTAAAAATTTTTTTTGATTTACAATCATACATTAACATTACATATTTCAAAATATAAAGATTCTTTTTATATACCTAAAAGGAAAAGGACAGGTACATGATGGGTATTTTAGGTATACAAAAAGAATCTTTATATTTTGAAATATGTAATGTTAATATATGATTGTAAATTAAAAAAAAAAATTTAGACTTGAAAATTGCTCGACAAGCTAAACGTTTTAATTGTGATGTGTAATCATTAAGTTGACTAAATTTAAAAATTGGTGTAAAATTGGCTGATAATAATTAAACTTAAAAATTAAAAATATTTTTATTGAGTCTAAATTCAATATAAATGTACTAATATTTATATTAGTATTATATTAGTATATATAAAAAAAAACTATTGTAGTTTGTCTTATCAAGTATGGTTATAAGATTCATTTATTTATGTATTTATACTAGTTACAAATGATAAAGGCATCAACTTACTAATAGGATTGATCTCATGTTGTTAGAATCCCAGCCAGCTACTATTGAATCTTAATGGAGGATTCTTGAGTAGACTATTTATATTGTGACAATTGTTGTTGGAGGGGGTAGCAAGGGGGTACCTACGCTTAATGGACCTTGATACACGACTTTGGATTGGTTGTGTTGTTATTATACAAACGACAGTTCCGTTTATCTATTTAGCAAATTTCCAAGTTTTTATCATCAAAGACCTTTGACATCGAGGAAAAAAAAGTAAATAACTGTAACTCTTATTAGTATTTCGAATAAATTTGAAATTATTAATCATGATAAAACAAACTTGAATTACAGCCAATAAAAATGAAACCAGTTTAGAAAGCAACATAATGTGAAATGTTAATTTTTCTTTCTTCTCGTCTCCTATGTTAGACCGTGATACGGGTCCCCTTTCACCAAATCACTAATATTCGCCTAAAACTTCGTGAATATCTTCATCTTATCCACTGTTGCCCAAATGCGAGACCAAGACGAGTCTTAGACTTACGAACTTGGACTTGGTATTGGTCTTGCACAAGTCTGGCATCAGTCTTGCAGTTTCCTATTAGCATATTAGTATAGATACATTACTGTATTTTTTCAGACAGGGAAAACCTGACTAAACCCAAATGAAAAATTTGATGAGTTGTATGCAATAGTATGTTGGTTATACCAATTCTTTACATATATTAAATAAAATTTTCATGTATTAGTAACTAATTTGCCTTAATTTTTATTTTTAAAATACGATTTTTTTTACCAGTCTTGGTCCTGCGACAGTCAGGCGAGGCGGTCTTGGTCTTGGTTTTGCAAAGTTCAACTAATATATAACTGTGTTGCAGAGTATGTTAAACTGTATATGAGAAGTTTATTATGTTTGCGTAGTTAGGTTGCATTGATATATGTATGTTCTTTTCAATCC